CTGATGTCCTGCAACCACGCCTGTTTCAGTGGCAATCAGAGGGCAGGCTGAGCAGAGCCCCACAGGAGCCTGAGAGCAGGGTGGTCAACCCTGCCCCCCAGGAAAGCTGGAACCAGTCCCCAAAGACTGTTCCCTCAGGAGCCCCCCCGCCCCCCCATGCTGCTCATTGCTCACACGTGAAGCTGCAGCCCCGTGCCCCTTGGAAGGTGACCAGCAGCACTGCACTGAGTCACACCCATGGACCCTGAAGGCCCCTCGCCGAGCTCCCCTCCCCCTACATCACCCACGTGCTTCCTGCAACAGCAGCTTGCCGGGCGCCCAGCCACTGACCTTGTGAGGGAGGGGCCTCAAACCCCCAGGAGTCTGCGTACCTCGCCCCCATCCCTCCTCTGGGCAGTGGGGAGGCCGGGAGGTCTGCTGAGACTGGTGGGGCATTTCCCTGTGCACTGTCTGCTTGTGCAGGTGTGAGGCCCAGAACAGCACAGCCTTGCTGTGGCCATGCAGGCAGTGGGGGTGGGGGAGGCCTGCACCCTGGGAGCGGCGGCCAGCGGGAGCACCACTGCAGGGGCTGATGGCCCCTCTTATGGGAAAAACCCGCCTCCTGCTGAAAAAATATATATGGAAAATCCCAGGGCCCCCAAGAGACCAAACCAATCTGTCTTGGAAGAAGTACAGCAGAATGCTCCTTAAGAGTCCAGGATATCAAGACAACTTCTGTGCTTTGGACATGTCAGGAGGGACCAAACACAGGGTAGAATCCCCCCACCGTGGGTTTTGGAAACCAGGGCTCCTTCAGGAGAGACCAGTCCCTGGAGAAGGACATCATGCTTGGTGAAGTACAGGGGCAGTGAAACAGGAAGGTCCTTAATAAGGAGATGGACTGACACAGGGCGGCCACGGCGGGCTCACGTGGGAACCAGGGTGAGGATGGGCAGGTCCAGCAGCGTTTCCTCCTGTTGTGCATGGGCCACCGCAATGCAAGGGCGCCTCACAATAGTGTGTGAGCCCATTGCAGCTCCTTCCCTGTGACTGGCAGCTGCCAGTGTGGGATGGTAGCTGAGCACCCCCTGGCTGGGAGCAGCCCCGACAGAGGTTGGCAGGAGTAAAAGGCCAGCCCTGGGCTCAGGGCCCGCCTACTCAACCAATGCCAGTCCACAGCCACCACTCCAGCTGCCTGGAGTGTAGCGGTGCATCCCCCAGCTTTGCCCAGGACAGAGAGCCTGCCCCTGCTCCCTCACAGGATGGGTGTCAGGCCTGGGGGGCCAACTCGCGTGCCCTCTTCTGACAGAGGAATCGAGAGCCTCTCCACCACCACAGTCACCAGCATCTTCACCATCTCCACCGCCACCATTACCAACATCATCTTCCCCTCCACCATCACCTTACTATTAACATCACCGCTACCATCACCTCCACTGCCTTCACCGCCAAATTACCATCGCCACCTTTAGTACTGTCACATCACCATCGCCAGCATCACTAACCCCATCACTGGCACTCCCACTGTCATCACCATCCTCCACGACCATGCCCCGAAGGCGGCAGAGTGGTGACAGGCTGAGGGGCAAGGCACTGCTGGCGATGAAGATGGTGATGGTGCCCTCACACCACGGTCATCCCCATCCATCTCATCACCGTCACAGCCATCCCCTTGGCCCAGTCCTCTCCCCAGGCCAGTGTGCCCTGTGGGGCTGGCAGAGCCTGCCTGCTGCAGCTTCCCTTTCACTGGTGACCAGTTACGGGCAGGCGGGTGTGTGGGTCCCCGGCCAGGCCCAGCATGCCGTGGCTAGACCACGTGGTGAGGCCCACGGCTGGCTGGCTGCCACAATGCTCAGCTCACCTAGTGTCTGTTGAAGGGACCCTGGCTGCCGGGCCCATCACGTCTGCAGCTGCAGCTGGCCTGTCCTTAAGGTGCCCCAGGAAAAAAAAAAGAAAAGGTGCCCCAGGCTGGGACAGCCTGCCCAGGGGAGGAACCATGAGGCGGGGGCTAGAGATCGAGGTGCCTAGGGAGAAGGGACAGTAGCACATCCGGTATGGGGTGGGGGCGGGGGGTGCCTAAGACTCCCTTAGCTTGTGGTGCTTTCCCCAACAGGGCCTAGTTGGGTCTCCAGACCCTGGTACCCTGCCCCAGGCCCTGTGGCACTGGCAGCTTGCATAGGGACTGGCCGTGGCCAGAGCACACCCCTCACCTCTCTGAGCTTCCTCACGGGAGGAGAGAGCTACTCACGTGGCTGGAAAGGGATGTCACCTGAAGGGCCACCCAGGAATGGATCCAGTGCCTTCCCACATGAGGGCCGAGCCAGCATTGCCCCCACCAGTGCCAGGGGCTGCCCTGGCTGGAGGACGCTACATGAGCTCCCATTGGCCCAGCACAGTGAGGTGTGGCCTCTGCACTATTCCTGCTCCATCCCTGAAGGCACTTTGCTCTGTCCCCTTAAGAAAGTGGAGGGGCCTCCCTACCCACCAATCTATCAGGAGCTCCACGGACCCAGCACTTGAGAGGCAGCCCTAGCTGTCTGTCAGGACAAGGATCGTTTCCCTCTGGCCCTGAAGCCACCTCAGGCCCACCTCCCACTGCAGATAGGGGCACACCCACAAGCAGGAACACATGTATGTACACACACGACACATCTACTCACCACACCTGAACCTACCCACGACATGCGTCCCCACCTGGACAAAGCATGACAAATTTGCACACCCATGTACACACCCGTGTCTCCACATGCACACACACTTGTCCCCAGGTGCACACACATGCATAACACACCCACATACAACATGCAGACACATACACACGACATGTCTGACATACATGTCCCCACTCAGACGTGTACATCTCCATACGCATCTACACACATGGTCACCCTGCATGTATACAGCACACACATTCCTGCCCACATGGACACACGTGCCACACACAGGCACACCCACATGCACATGACACCCACATGAGCACATACGCCTACTTTCACGCTCACAGGGTCCCCCAGGCTGGAGGGAACCCCACAAAGCACATCCCCACCCACTTGGCACACACACATGCTTGCACGCGCGCACGCGCAGACACTGCCCCAGTGTGCACGCTGTCACCTTGCCGCACGGACACATAGCGGTGATTGGCGGCCATCAGCACCACCTGCGGGTGGCTCTCCTCCAGGTCAAAGAGTTCGTCCTTGCTGGGCCGCAGGTTGCGGCCGGCCCGGAGGGTGCCCGCGGGCCCCACAGGCGCCAGGTAGCGGCCATCGCAGTCCTTGAAGGCCAGCTTGCCGGCCTTGAACTCGAGCGTGTAGCGGGCACGGGCCTCAGGCTCCCAGACCAGGCGGCCGTCGCTGCGCAGGTAGCGGCTGTCGCGGGCGCGTAGGCAGTACTGGCGGCTCTGGAAGGTGAGGGTGACCAGGGCGTCCACGCCCCACGGCGTGTTGCTGTCCGCTGCCATCTCCTCCTCCTGGGGACACAGGTGCACATAGCGCCGCCGGCTGACGCTCAGCAGGTGGGCCTGCGGGTGGATGGCCAGGTGCACGGTCCATAGCTCGGCCGGGGAGATGGCCGTGGCGAAGCAGGACAGCTGGTCCTCCGTGCCGCCGAAGAAACGGCCGTGCGGCTCGGACTGCAGGGCCCAGCGCCCGTCAGGCTGCGGCCGCACCAGGAAGCGGCAGTCGGGGCCGGGTCGCTGGGCCTCGCAGGACACACGGCCATCCTCCTCCGCCGCCAGGTAGCGGCCCAGGTGACTGCTGCGGAACAGCACGGCCGAGCCCTGCCCGGGGTCGGGCTCCAGCACCCAGGTCTGCTTCCGCTTGAGGCTGGGCGCCGAGGCATTGACCTGGAAGCCAAAGTGCTCGGCGGTCAGGTAGCGGTCGGCGGCGTTGACCAGGCCAAACTGGATCTTCAGCACCTGGTGCAGCCCGTTGGTGGGCATTGTCCTGCCCGGCCCCACAGGGCGGCCACACGCCTGGGCGCTCAGGGGCCCCCGGAGGCCTGGCTCGGCTCGGCTGGCCCACGGCCCCCTGGCCCTGCTGGGGTCATGGGCTCTCAGTCCCTCTGCCCTGGCCGTTGCCCACTCCTACACGGGAGGGCGGGCAGCGGGGGCGGGCAGAAGGTGGCCGGCTTAGGAGCAATGGCCTGTAATTAGCCCAGCTTGGATTTCAGCCGCTCCAGTCTCCCGCCCGCCTGCCCACAGGAGCCCCCCGCAACCCATGGGCTCCAGGCCAGCGCTGGCTGCAGGTCCTGTGCCCCCAATGCTGGCCGCCACGTTGTTACACAGGGCTCCCCTCGCCCCTTGTCATCTCCGGCCCCCGGCCTCCAGCAGCCCCGTCCTTCAGGAATTGCTGCCCGTGGAAAACTTGCAGTCAGTGCTCCGCAACCTGATCACAGCCCTGCGCCCAGCGGCCGCCAGCGCATGCCTTCCTCGGGGATCCCGTTACGCCGTCTGATTCCTGCAGCCAGGAGTGGGGACCCCCGGAGGCGGCAGCCCGTGCAAGCCCTGCATCCTCATGGTCCCGTCCCCGGGCTGGGGAGGCAGCAGGCAGGAGGGCCGGGCCCCTGCCGCGCGCACTCTGGGTCGTGTGCCAAGGGTGCTTCCACACACCCTTGGGTGCTGCCTGCACGTGCAAGCCCCCGGGTGCTGGAGGCAGCGAGCCTGGGAGACAGGGGCCTGCTTCCTGGAGTTCTGGAAGGTGTGGGGTGATTGGGGAGCCCCCATGGACACGAATATGCGGACTGACAGCCCCCTGGAGGCTGAGACCTTCAGAGAGAGACGAGGGCCGGGTCCTGTTGCCCGGCGGGCTCCCCTGTGCCCTAGGGTTAGTGACTTAGCCCTGCTCTCTGGATGCCCTTTTCTCTGCGGGGGGTGGGGGGGAGGGGGGTGTTTGCACCCGGCCACCGTGCAGACCTTCTGGGCCTCAGGGACCAGACACTGGGTTCACCCCACCCTCCGGTCCGACTGGCGTCTTTTGGGGGGTGGTCTGGGGGCCAGGTGGGCTCTGCGAGGGCTCCTGGGGCCTGTAGGGCAGAGAAGCCCACAGCAGGGCGCGTTATGGGGTCCTGTGGGGGCCCTGAGGCCCCGCCCGCAGCCGCTGCTGCCTGGCTCCGGCACCTGCCTCCAGGGCAGGCAGCCAGGAGAGGAAAGCGGAGCTGGCCCTCCTGGGCCACAGCCAGGCTGGTGTCCTCTTCCTATCACAGTGTGACCCCCCCTCACGCTCCCCGGGACCAGGACGGCCATGAGATCCAGCCCCGCCTCCGGGGCCCTCTGGGGTGCAGACCCGTGGGGTCCAGCCGAACCTGGGCAGAGGAGAGGGGAGGACTGTGATCAGGACCTGCCTCTGTTGTTCCCTGGACTCGAAGCCTCACAGCCTGGGGAGAGAGGGAGGCTGGTGCAAACCCCGCCCAGCCCCCCCCCCCCCCACCCGCCAGCATCCACCACCATCAGCCTTTCCTACCAACCACGTGACAGCGCCCATCTTGGAAGAGGCGACCTGGGCTGGGCCCCTCCTATTACTCACAGCCCCCAGGGGACCCTGCATGGGCGGCCAGAGATGTGGCCTCAGCCCGTCTGCCCTCAGGCCCGTGGGTCCTCTCTGCTGCCCCTCATAGGGCTGGGGAAGCCCTTGGGGCAGGTGTGGCCTCCCTCCCTTGTGGGGGGAGGTTTGCCAGGCTGCAAGGATGGAGCGTGCCACCCACCAGCCTCTCATCAGGATAATGGCCTCATCAACCAGCCCTGACTGGCACTGGCAGCAGGTGCCTGGCGGAGCAGCCCAGCCGCCAGGGGCTAAGTGGCCTGGCTCAGGGCAGCCTGGTGGTGGCAGAGCCAGGATTGGCTGTGGCCCCTGGGTTCCAGGTAGGACTGGGTGCTGGTTGGGGCTGGCCAGGTGCATGACTGGGGGCCTCCTGGGTGCTGGGCGCCAGTGTCTGACAGCCACCTACCCCTCGGGCCCCGGGCCCCAGTTCAGCTGCACCTTGGGTAGCAGCCCCCTATGGGCCCCCAGCAAGGTTTGTGGCATTAAACCAACACCCCACTGCTGTCAAGGTCACCCTGGTTCCAAGTCACCCCCACACACCCTGAGTCCTCAACCCTGATCTTTGGGGAGGGGACTGCCGCATTTCCCCAGGGGCTGGTGGTTCTCCAGCTGACCTTGCAGCCAGCAAGCTGGGCAGGGCCAGGATCTTTGTGGGGGGAGGGGGCTCCAGGAAGTATTTACTCAGGGCCTGGGGCGGGGACTGGGAGCTTGTGGGAGGGGGCTGAAGGGAACTGGGTGGCCTGTAGGGAGTGCTGAACAGCCTGGGGGAGGGGGGGGGTCTGGGAGATGTGCCTCTGGGAACAGCTGCAGTGCTGGGCACGTGTGCCTGGTGTCTGCGTGCACACATACACTGCGCCTGGGCATGTGTGTAAGGGCACATGAGCACGTTTGCACGCATGTGCCTGTGTGGAGGTGCACTCGTTGCCCCCCAGCCTCCAGCTCTCTCCCACCCAGTTTGGCCTGCGCAGGCTGAGCCTGGTAAACCTGGGAGGTCCGCAGAGTGCATGACCAGTCCAGCATGGGCAACAGACCGCAGGCCCCCTCCCTCTCTGCCTGGTGGCCACACTGTGGCCAGAGTGCACAGGCAGGGTGCCCTAATGTGCCTGAGGCTGTGCATGTTGGGGTGCCCCGTGTCACCCTGGAATCCAACCAGCCCTTCCTGGGTGCGGGGGCGCAGCCCAGCAACCGGGCACCGCACAACATGTGTGAGATGCCGACGGGCTGCTTCTCCAGGGGACACGGAGCTGCCGTTTGAGGGGAATGGCACCCCAGGCTCCTCCTTCTGGGGGGATAGCCAGAGGGGCCTCCCTCATGGCAGCTGGGCCCTGAAGGCAGGGGCTGCCCGAGTTGTTGAAGCCCACTGCAGACAAGCTGTCTGTCTGTCTCTGGTCATCCCATGAGGGCAGCACCACAAAGCCTGGCAGTCCCTGTCCCTGGTGTCTACCCTACCCAGCAATGCCCCTCCCCTAGGCTGCTCAGGAGAGTCCAGCCCTCTTGGCTTCTCATGGGGCACAGCGCGATGGGTGGGCCCAGCCCCTAGAGGGTCCCCCTCTCCCTGGCACCTAAGCAGACCCTGGCAGGGGCTGCAGAAAAGAGCCAAGCACTTTGTCCAGAGCAGTGGCCCTGGACACAGGAGCCCAGCCCAGGCTGTGCTGGCGGGAGGCCCACTACCATGGTGATCAGAGTGTGCAGCAGGCCTAGTGCCCGGGCGATGCAGATGCTGGCAGCAGGAACTGGCACGGAGCCTGAGTGTGCGTGAGGGAGGGCAGCCGGGCAGCCGTGGGACCAGCCAGGGCTTTGGGGGCCAGAGGACAGGTCCTCACACCCAGCCATGCTGCCCCTCGGCCCAGGCCCTGGTCCCCACCCCTGGGTCCCAGCAGGCCTGGCGAGCTCCCAGACCGGCCTCTGGCTTCTCTGGTCGCACGGAGGTGGCACCTCATGAGTATTTTATGGCGGAGCTATCTGCCCCTCCCAGCTCTGTTTACACAGTGGGGGGGGCACCCCAGTTGGCTTACCTGAGGCCCTTGGCTAGGGTTAGGGTGACAGGTCCCCTGGGGAGGCAGGAAGGAGAGGAGGGGACTCCCACGCCCTGCCTGTGATCCTGCCTCCTCTGGGTGGGTGGGCTCCACTCCTGTCCCCCCACCAACTCTCCAGCTCAGGCCCCGTCCTTGAGGGCCTCTGTATGAAGAGCCAGCCTCTTCTCGCCGAATTTGTCTCCCACCATCACACAGTGGTTGGAGGACAGGGAGCACCTTTCTCTGATCAAGGTGGGGTGGAAAAATGTCCCGGCCTGGCCTACAGCTCCCAAGAGGCCCACCAAACGACCCAGCGGGCCCTGGGGGCCCACACCCAGGCATTGTGGGATGGCCCAGACCTGTGTACATCCCTGGGGCTGCGGGGCCACCTCACAGGAATGTCTGAGCAGGAGCCACACTGCCCAGGCCAACCTAGAGACCTGGAAGACCCTTGACCACTCACCTGAACTTAGAGAGACGGCCACGCCACCGATGGGCAGGAGCCCAGAGCCCTGCTGGCGCCCACAGCAGCCCCTGCGAGCCCCTCCCTGTGTGCGGGTTCAGAAACCAGTAAAGGAGCTGACCACCAGCGCAGGAGCCCCCAGGGGCGGGGAATTCTGATGGGCAGGCGTGAGAGGAAAGGTGGCAGGTGGAGCAGTACCACCCAGTGGGCAGGCATTACACAGAGCTGTCTTCCTCGTTAGGTGCTGACCCTGTGTGCAGTCCTGCGCCTCCACATGCTCCTCTGGTGGAAGCCTGTCTGCCCGCAGGGCGTCCTCTCCAGGCCTGGCCTCCTGTGGACAGAGACAGAGACAGGGCTCCTCCTTCCTCCCGCGGCCGGCCCGTGGTGACTCAGCATGCTTCAGCAACAGGACAATTCCCTTCCTCTGCCTGATTGCTCTACCCAAACCACTGCCAGGAAGAGGGTTCCGGGGCCTGCTGACCTTTCCAGGAAGGCAAATCTGTATAGGAGTGGGCGGCCAGCGCCTGACCACTGTGCCACGGGACTTCTGACCCATTCTCGTCACTCACTGCCAATGCCGACCAGTGCGCCAGGGTAGAGCCGCCCCTCTGGACTGTCCCTCTTCAAGGGGGTAGAAAGCCCGTCTTTCTCCCGACGAGCTGCCGGTGGTTTCCAACTGCTGGCCTTGAGGGTCAATTCCACCCCAAGATTTGAAAACGGGCGCATGCAGCCCCAAACCAGCCGCGGACAGACACCCACCAAGGCGCTCCGTCCAGGTGATGGGACTCCGTGCACCACAGGAAGCTGTGACTCGTCAGCCGTGTGAGGGCCCCGTGAATGTGGCCAAGCATTAGTTTCATGCTGGCTGAAAGAAGTCACACCAAAAGGCCAAATACGGTCTGATGAGCGACCCGGTCACGTGCCT